TGACAAAGGTGAAAATTGTGTTGCGCAGCAGGTTTACCGCACAGTCACGGCGCCGCCGAAGACGCGGCCCCACATCCCGCGGCCCATGCGGGCTCTCTTGGCCTTTGTGCCATCTTGCATGTCGCGGAGCTCCTCGGTGCTGATTTCGTAGGGCAAAAGAGGCTTGCGCTTCGGAAGCGTTGATGCAGGCTGCTCAATGTGCACCTCCACTGGCGACTCGTACAAGCTACCGTTGGGAACGTACATGTACGGCTCGTCGGCGGGGTTGTCGAGAGGCGTGGTGGCACGCGATTGAGACCGGCTCGATGCCACTGAAGGAGCGTAGGAGCTGACGGAGCTGCCATAGCTGCTGCTGTAGCACAGACCGGGAGGGGTGATGGAAGATCCGCTGTACGTGCGGGCGTGGTCGGGCGATTCCAGGCGGGAGCGGGAGCTCGCACGCGATGACGGGGGGCTGGGGTAGGTGTTGTACATCATCTCCTCGTGTCTGCGGCGCATCTCCTCCTCTTGCTTGCGGCGGCGTGCGATGCGGCGGGCATGCTTGGCCTCGATCTCGGCGCGGATAGGAGCCAGGAAGGGGTCAAGCTCGCGGTAGAGATCCTCCTCAGAGATCCTGAGCTCCCAGTCGAGGAGGAAGAGAAGCTGCTTCTCCATCAGATTGACTTCCGTTCTGCTGAAGCCAAAGTTGGAGAAATCATTGTTGACGTGGCTGTAGGTGGCCCAGTGCTTGTTCTTGGGTGAGCTGTCGTTGAGGTACTTGGCGGTCAGGATGAGGGCAGCAAGGAAGATGCGGTGTGTTGTGCATCGCAGACCGCGAGCCATGGGCTGGAGGCGAGACTTGAGTCTGGTGAGGTAGACCAGAGTAGACATCAGAGTAGGGACCTGGACGTTGGAGGAAACAACGAGTTGTGTAATGAAGGCCTCGAGGGTAGGCAAATCGGCGTCTTCGGTGCGAACGGCGCGGGGCTCGGGTGTCCTGGGTGGCGTCGGGGGAAGCTGCTGTTGACGTTGGGCCTCTGCGGAAGCGGGAGGCATCAGAGCACTGTCGCATGAGATGACATTGTAGGCGGCACCAGCCAAGTACGAGATCATGGACTTGCTGACGGGTTGGTAGACAAAGTGGTCGAGGGCGGCGGCGTTGAGCTCGGCCAAGCTGAGATGTGACCGTGACTCCATTGTGTATGTGTAATGTGGTTGAGGATGAGGTGGTTGGTAGTGAAGGATGGAGATGGAGATGATGATTCCAAGTGGAGTCGTAGTAACAGTCAAGGGCTCCTTGGTGTAGAAGGAGTGTTCCTTTTGTTGTTGGTTGGTGAAGAGTTCGTTGAAGAGTGACGAAATAAGAGGAGATTAGAGAGAATGGTAGAAGGGCAGGCTGGGCTGATATATTCAGACGAAAAGGAGGGTACGAGCGTGGTGTGCGGCGAAGTTCATATGCCTCGTCGCAATTGCTGGGGCCAGCCTCTGGGGATGAGCCTGGTAGAGAGGGATGCGGAACAGCCAGTCGTCAGTGGGTGACGTGCGGTCCACGAGGCTGAGTGGGCAGGTTGTCAGGGGGTCGCTAGTCAAGTGCTAGCGTAGTAGGGGGTTAGTTTTTTAGGGGAGTCTCAGCAGGACGCCGACGGAAGTGCCTGCTGGGGGGGCTTGGATGCTTGGGGTGGGCTGGAATGCTGTAGATCCCAGGGGTGCAGGGGTGTGAAGGCCAACAGGGGGGAGGGGCGTGCTTGGGTTTGGGTGGCAGGGGGTGGTTAGGGAGGCGTGGACGATGCTCCGAATGGAAAAGAGGTGTGTCGATAAACCACCAGCAGAACTGGACAAGAAAGTTGTCCAAAAGAAGCGAGGTCGCAGGGGGGTAAGCGGACTGGCCGGCAGGGGTCTGGATCTCTAGACTCTCGCGGGTTGCAGACTCGGTGCGAGCGGCTGCAAGTCGGTGGGTTTGCTTTTCGTGCTGCTGTATTTAACCTTCAAATCAGAGATGGGACTGTGGCGCTACCCTCTTGGAGAGTAAGTTCGCGTACGGTCTGAGTCTGCCCAGACGAAGGAGTGTAATATTGTTGCTGCGAGGTTCTCGCAAGTGGCCTTGGCGGTGCAAAGATGCCACGGTCGATAGGACACGGAAACAAGTAAATCTCGTCGGTATCAACGGAGAGATTGGTCTAGCTGCGGTGTTGTGGGTATTGTTGCAATGATTGTGAATGTGCTGGTATAGCGGAATAGAGGAACGATTTCGGCGATGTCGGCGAGTATCCGGCAGGTGGCGATTTGTGAATGTAGTAGAATGGTAGACGCCAACGACGTCGGCAAAGAAGGACGAAAGGGCGCTGGTCAAGTGGGTTTCCTGGATGCTGGAAACAGAGAAGTTGGAGTATGGCGGCTAATGCTTATTGCGATTGTTCAAGGCGACGACAATGGCAGTGAACAGACCAAAACCCAAACTTCTGGAAAATGCCCGGTGGCCTATGACGAATGGAGGAATAGGACAACTTTTCAAGGTTCTGCAAACGGACGCTGAGAGCCGAGTCAAGTTTGCCAAGCGCTTGGAAGAGTTGCGGTTGAGGAGGTGACGGCGTCAAGTAAATCGACCCGGGGGCGAGTCAGGGATTATTGCGGCCTGTGGTTTTTGGGTTTGAGTTTAGGAGAAAGGGTCGAGACGTCGATGCGATTTCCTCGTCTCGTCGTGAAATGAGCTTGATGCGTCGACCACTGTCTAGGACAGATTGAGCCAACGGTCGGCGATTTGAGTTGGATCGGATTGATTAAGCAAGTGAAGATTGACGGCTGGGTCGTGCGTCGTGAATCCAAGGCTACTCGGCAGCGAGCGGGATGAGGGAGTGGGATGGAGTATCCGTGAGGTATCGGTATTAGTTTGCTCTACCTGAAGGCGGTAGAAGCGGCAGGGCGGCGGTGATCCGTTTGAGGATCGAAATTATTCGCAACGACGAGGACGGTCGAATCAGAGCTTCCGAGCCAGCGGACGGTGCAAGACGAATGTCGATTGTTGATTAATTGTTCTCGGGGCCGCGGGGCGGTTGCGATGCAGTCGGATGTGCAGCAGAGCAGAGCAGCTGGTCAGCAGCAACAGTGTGCTTTGTTCGGCCGGGATCCGAAGTCCGAAAACGTGAGAGCGGCGGTCGAAGACGGGAAAATGATTGACACTCCTTTCAACTCGGAGCGAGAGACCAGACTCGAAGGTTTGTCCGGCGCAAAGTGTCGCTGACAGATGAATTAAGTCGATATTGACGTTACAGGGCAACAAGGTACCGACGTCAAGGTGTTTAGGAATCGGGATGGTCCTAGGAATGGAGTCTCTCGATGCAACAAGCAATGTGTCCAGAGAACTGTTCTACTGGACCAGAGTGCTGGGAAGATGGAAATGACGACAGGGCAGTTGTCAAGCAGTGTCCCCTAACGTATAACGTATCCTGTAGAGAAGGTTCGGTAACGTCCAAGGTTGGGCACAACGTGAACCGTGTGTAAGGTCAAAGTTGTATAGTGAGCGAGGCTTTGGCAATGCACTTTTCCGAAGTTGAATCCGCTTTCCACTTCTCAGGGCGATGCGGTGGAGAGTATGGGGTACGTGGACCGACGGGTCAAAATTGCGCGGAGAAGGAGGTAGCGGGTACTTGATGCCGTTCTCAAAGTTCTCGACCGTGCAAAGTATCGGGAGTGTGTCCGGTGGCAGTTGGGTGCGAGGCGGTGCAGGTTGTCTTTCTGCGAATGGAAAGCCGCAAGCAGGGGACGTCCAAGTTGGGCAGTTGGGGTCGACTGGATTGGGTGGATGAGATTGATTGGGAACCACACACGCTATGATGCAGTATGCAGCAGGTGCTTGTCCAAGGGTTCGAGGCTTTCGGGCAGAATCGAAGGCGGAATTGAACACGAGGGTTAAAGTGTCGATGGTGAAGAGAGTGTGGGTGATTGATGGATTGCTTGATGGCTGGTGGTTGGGTTGATGGCTGAAAGAATGCAGGCTGGTGTCTGCCTTTTAATTCAGACTCGTGTGGGCGAAATATTCGACGACGACGACAGGGACGAGACGGAAAATGACGATCCAAGCAAGATTCAATAGATCCAATAAGGAGTATTCGGTTCCAGTTCCAGTTCCAAATCTCTTGGTGATGGAGACGGCGGATGGCGGCCGTGACCAAAGGGATCAGAATTGGTATTATCTGGAGGAAAGCCTTGGCAAGTCGGCAGACGGAAAGGCGCTGGCGGCGAAGTGATGGGATGGGACGAGAGCGCGCGAGCGGGCAGCAGCGACGCTTGGTCTGTGTGTGAGAGTGCGTACGAAGCACTCCGTGGTGGTGCACAGTTGGAAGGCGCTACTGGCAGCTGTGGGGCGACAGAACCACTGGAATGGGAAAGTCGTTGGAGGGGCTCGAGGGGGAAGGAGCGACGAGCAACTTGGGGATGTACCTCTCGGAGACGCGATGGCCAGCAACGGAGGGGTTCGATATTTGAGAGTAAACAAGAAATTCGAGGAAAGTAAACAGAAGGGTAAACAAGAAGCCCGGCAACTAGAGGAAAAAACAAGTATTGAAGAGATCCGATTCGTATTAACCAGGCCGGCTGTTGTTGAAGATGAAATCGGGGGAAAGAGACGCGTTCTGCGTTGGTAGATCGGTAGCTTCCGGAGTACCTCCGAGTCGGTGCTGTCTCTGCTCCGTCTCCCTGCTTTCGCTGGTTGATGGATGGTGGTGAAGGCCGGCGGTGGTGCTATTGGATGCGGAGAGGACTAATGACAAACTGTCGTATTCAATACAACAGCCCTCGAATGCCGGCGATGATGCAGGTTGATTTGGAAATAAAGAAAAAGGAGAATCACGTCCGAGCAGATCAAGACTCAAGATTCAAGACTCAAGAGGGAGGAGGACACAGGGATGAAATATAGTGCTGCTAGAGGCGCCGAGATGAGGGATGAGATCGATATATTTACTTTTGCAAGCCCAAATCCCAAGACCCAAGACCCAAAAGTAAGATTGAGACCACTCATCAAGACCATGACCAAGACCACGGCCCAAATCAAGGTACAAAGTATCCGTACACGCGCAACGCTGGGCCGGGTTACGGACGGGAGCACGATGCAGGATTGGATCCGCCGGTCCTTGACGGCGGCGACGAACAAGAACGACAACAACCGAGCCGCGAACCATTGTGTAATAGGCCGACCTTCATTTGGGAGTGTCTCACGAAGCCCGTTGACTGGCCAGAACAGCTCGGTTCAAAACTTCAGGGCCCCTCCCACCTCGCAACCCAGTACCGCTGCACACCAGAAGCGATCCCATTTCAGCCAGTGGTTGTAGAAACACAAAGACACGATCCCACAAGCAAGGGCCCATGTCTCCCAAAACAAGCAGCAGCAGCGTTTCTTGTCCACCCAGAGCCCCAGGCGACAGACTGCAGCAAAACATGCGCACGTACGAAGGCCAGCGGCGACTCGCCAGTAAGATTAAGGTATCTGGAGGAAAGCACTCCGTACGGATGGTTAGGTACCTTGGTGCTTGTCTATTCCTGTTCACTTGAGAGGTACACTTCCAGGTACCTTGTTATCGAGGAAAGTGCACCTCGTACGCGGGAGAAGAAGGAAAGGGAGGCACGGAAGCGGACCCACCCCCAGCCATTCGCTGCTTCTCCATCTGTCAGTCAAGTGAGCTGGCGCCTGCACCTCACGTTGCTTGGACATTTTCATTGGCTGCTATGAGGCGGAAGGAGCAAGTACGATACGGATACGTATCCATGCCTTCATCTGGAGTCGCCCTCCCTTGCCTCTTGCCTCTTGTTGCAGCCCTTGCCTGACGCCTGACGCTGGTGGTGGGAGCCAGAGATGAAATGTGACTGGATCAAATGAACGAATCCTCAGCCGCCAGCTCACAACCAAAAAAGAATCAACTACGAATACGCATACGGGAGTAGTGGCATACCTACTACCTTGCAGTAAAGCACAGCAGAACAGACTCAGGCACGCGAGCCAAGGTACCTCCAACGCACGTCAGCTTGCTTTCCGCTGTCACTAACATGGACTGCTGCAGCTAGGTCTACGCATACTGTCGTATACCTACCCCAAAAGACCTGAAAACGACACAATCGATGCGCGCGGTTCATTGGTGGCCGCGTCCTACCTCGAGTACGCCGATGAAACAAGCGATGGGCAGCTTTCTCCAGCCCTCTCTACCAATCGATTCACGAACATGGCCAAGAAACAAGACCCTCCGGAGAACTCGAACTCGCTTCCGTCTGGAGGACTAACGACCCTTCAACTCGCCCACCTCGAACTACTGGGCGTCTATGTGTAATCTCCGCAATTCTTTATTTTCGGCTCCCTCTCTGAAACAGCGTATCGACCGGCCTTGCCTCGCCTTACCTGAACGAGACATGATGTCGACCACGTCTATCGAGTGTTAGCATGCCGCGCCGCGCACTTCCCGACCGATGAGAACCGGCCCGCGTCGTGACCGATCTTTCTTGACCTGGCGCCGTTTCGCCGCCGCCGCCTTGCTTCTCGCCCTCTGCTTAGAATTTTAGGCTCTGGAAACAAGTTGACCTTACGCCTCCGTGACTCATCTCCTGTCCCCTACCGCTCTGCTGTGTCACGGTTTACCGCTGTTGGGCTGTTGGCCAGGCTTGGCTATGCTGCTCTGATTTGGAGACGCCCCTGCTACTCGCCTGCAATCATGCTCGCCTTTGCCAATCTTATCACTGCACCAGAAGGGATCAACACACGTACGCCCTTCTTGAACCTTGAATCTCTTGCTGTACTCCGTACACTCAATGGTTTACCCGTGGGCGGAAAGTATCATCAAACAAAGCCACAGCCAACTACTGTTCTGCAACCAGTGCTGCTTTGGTGTGCATTACGGCCTACATGATGCCGCCCATCTTCAAGAAAGTCCACATGGACAACGATGAACGCCTCCAGCTTTGGCATCCACAGAGTTGCTCCAAAGGCCGACGCCCGCGCTGGCAAAAGCCTGAACAGTCTGAACAAAGTGAGACCACGCCCGCAGGTTGCGGCACAGCATAGCCAATCCCGCCTGGGCGATTCCTTGGTTTCGAAATCATCACCAATGTTGTTTCCCATTTTGCATCAACAGCTCAACAGCAAAAGAAGGCCGCAACAGGTCAAGCGTCTGGTGCTGCTCATGAAACGACACACATACACAGCGCCCTCTTTTTCGGCCTCTGAGACATTTCCTAATGGTTTTGCGTCCTGCCACCAGCTTAACCGTCAGCTAGCGGAACATGAGGGCTGTCAGCCAACCACGGTCAATCGTTTTACACTCTAGCGGCCTGTTGGCATACTCAGCAGTGGCTCCCTGTTAACTTCAAAGACTTAGGCTACCCCCAGCCCAGTCCAGCCAGGAAATGTCTTCCAACCCCACGAATCTGAGAACCTCACGTTTCTAGCTGGGGGGTTTGCTCCTTTGTCGGGCCTTCGGGGTATCAGCAACACACTGGATTTCCTGGCGCACCTTGGCTTGCCTGAAAGGGAAGAAGGAGCCGTTAATCGTGTGGCTTCACCTACTCGCCTCCCACTGAAATCCCAAACTGACTTTTCGAGTACACGGAGTTCCTCCACAAGGCGGGAATCTCATCCAATCCTCGATCAAGCACAAAGCCCTCGCCGCAATCCTAGCCCCTAGCTCAACAGTCAGTTAAACGTCCAGGCCAATCAACCCTTGCCGTCTATCAATCACAGCCAAACGTCGAGATATGGGCCTCATGCCTTTCCCATAACCGGTTACCCTGCCCTACGCTGGAGATGATCTCCGGCAACACGCAGGACACGGACTCTGTCTCAATGCCGCCAACAGTCTACAGGCGCAATCCTACCACCCGCCAAAAAGTCAAAAGTTTCGGGTTCGCATGACTGATCGCTCCCTTCCCGCAATTGACAAGAGGGTGTAGCCATGCTGTGGCTCAGAACGAGCTCGTGTTCGACTTCACTGGAGGGAAATGCCCCCTGCTGGCAATATGCTCACGCACTAATCGCTACTCCCGTCCCCTGAAGTAGATCGTTCCCCACGTTACGGTTTCATGTGTATGCCTTTTCATTCCCAATCGAATGCACTCCCCTCCGGCTTTACGTGTCCAAGTCGCGTTTGGGATCACTGCAACGGTCCCCCTATCTTCTCCATTTGATTCTGGCTTCCTCGGGTCAGTGGACCGACGCCGAGACGCAGGGTGAGAGTCGAGAATGCGGAGGGTGAGAAGCTGACAGCCTAGCGCAAGCAAGGACTCACATTCACACATTATCGTCCAAAGGCCCCCAACAAAGTGTGGTCCTGCTGGCTCCATCGTGAGCCAACGACTTGCATGCAGAGTCTCGTGCGAATAAGCCCGGGCCCCTCGTTGCAGAGACAAGGACAGAGACCGGATGGCAGCTGACAAGCGGCCACAAGCACCGTCGACAACCACATGCTCGAGCCCTACGGTCGGCGTCGATAGCTTCGCGCCAAGCGTCTGTTCGAAATGGCCTCCTGCGACGGTGGCTTCGCCATGACCCGCTGGCCACCGAACGACTTGCCAAATGTGTCAGGCGTCTTGTTCGGGCCCAATTTACATTGCTTTCCCCTCATCGTAGCCCATATCAAGACACCCAGCCGCTTACTAGTACTCGATCCCTACGTTACCTATTGCGGCGTTATCTGCTTAACTGACGGGTACTATGATGCCCCTCTTATCTCGGGCAGGAGGGTGCTAACGACAGCCACCATGCATCAAGGCGCTGAGTGCTTGAAAGATGGTATGCTTGAAATCCTGCAACAGCCTAACCTCTATTGCAGCCCACCTGGAGTTTCCCCTGAAAGGCGCGACAGATCTGCACCCTCTTTTGCTTGTAACGCAGCGGGGCGGACATACCACAGCTTTCGAGTCTAGCCCTGGGGAAGTGGTTGCGCAAGCGTACGAGTACCTCATCGGCTGTCCAACTAAACCCCATTTTCAGGGGGTCGGTCGATGGCAGAGGAATCGATTCGACTGTATCTGGCACCGGAAGGTTGATGCAGTAATGCAACCAGGTACCCTGCTTACAATCATCACAAGTAACGCAGAGGGAAGTTGGAAGAGGGGGAGCAGAATCAACCCATCTTCACCGCCCGGATATGCTCCTTCGCTGTGGCATCACCAATTCATTCGGTCGAGTTGGTCCACGTCGCATGCTGAGCCAACGCAGAGACTCAAGCTCGTCCAGCCATTGCAGAAATGCAGTGTCCGCCGGCCGTCCGTCCGTCTAGACCGTCTCGGCACCCGACCGAATTCCTCACCGCCTCCCTTCTCCCTCCTCTCAACGACTCCCGAGCTCCATCTCCCACCTCCTCAAACCCGGGGCCCACATGCGCCGGAAGGCCTTGCCGCTTCGGTCCTGGTGTGTCGGAGACCACTCCGGTACAATGCCACGCGAGAGCCGTGATTGGCGGGGTGGCCTTGGAACGGAACACCAGCACTGCAGTACGAGTTCGCCAATCGCGCCTCAAGGCCCAGGCCACACAAGGTGGCTATGTCCCGAGACAGATTGTGGCTGAAGTTCCGAACTTGCCCACGACCAGCTGCTCGGGAGGCCTGCCTATTGACGAAAATCGATTATTTTCCAGCCTGTTGAGCCGAATGCGACAACGTCTTCGGCCACAGCGTCGTGATCCGGTGCGGCTCAGACAAAGTGCATCAAAAAAGACACCTGTTCGCCTGACACAACAAACATCGGCAGTCTCCGCCACACGGAGATGTTCGTGATGCGAATTCATGCGCCCACTGAAGCGATGAACCACTTATGGTGTCTTGTCCCCTGTACCGTTCGGCTTGTGCCAGCTGATGGGAGGCATGCCCATGCGCGGGTACGGGGTATGGATCTGGGACCGTGGCAGGGGGTGATGGAAGCCAGGCATTCGCTGAATCTGTACCCCGCATAGGGCGGTCTCTCTCCCATTTTGAGCCACAGTTGCGGCATGCCTTTCAACGCATCAACGTTCACGCCCCCCCTTGGGACCCTTTCCCCTGTCACGCTGGGACGATCGCGCGTTCCCATTCGTTCAGCAGGGGATTCCAAGGTGTGGTGCGTGCGCTGCTCTCAATCTGTCATCCCATCCATCGCTGATCGCCGGCCTCGGCTCTTTAGTCAGTTGATCGACGACTCTTCCGATCACCCTCTTCAGGGATTTAGCTGCCCTGCCGTGCCTGCGTCGAGCCCCCTTGCTCCTGTTGGCTACAGGCCTGGCCTGCTGCGCTCTCTTCCTCGCCAGGTCGCCCCTCGCTACTCGCAGTCGCAGTCGCAGCGCCAGAGGACGCGACAGCGACGGCGAACGTACTACGGTACCAGCCACACTTGGGGCCTCCCCTCCCCGCGGCGATTATTCATTCTCCCCTCCCGTCCCACCCGAGCCGCCACTTCCCGGATCCGAACATGGCTCTGGTGGTTAGTCATTCGTGTCCTTCTTTGGTGGCTTGGAAGGCCATGTTGACCCGGCCAGCGTCACACTGCAAATTGTCTCCGCCGCAGAAAAAGGAAGAAGAATAATCGGGACTTTGACAATGCCATGGCGGTGCAGGCAAGCCAATGTCACTCTTATCCAAGAACCCATGCCCATAGCATTGGAAGGGAAAACGCAGGCACGAAGCCCGCCAAGCCACCCTTCGTACGAAATGTCACTCCGCCGAGACTCAACAGAACGAACACTGCAAGCTTTCTACGAGGACTCTGTAAGGAGCTTCTCCTGTGTAATCCAGTGGTCATCTACCAGCGGCGTCCGCTTACCGGGGCGTGGCGCCGTCCGGTCGCCCCAATCCTTTGATGTCTCGGTCGCGGCGTGGAAGCGGGAAATTTTTGCCGCACCACGATGAACAATACGTAAAACCTACGTCGACTCGAAAACGCCAACCATGCGGTGTCTTGCGCGACGCCTCGTCGGCACGTCGCCGAGTGACCTTTCCTCATGTGGACGGCAATTCAAGCTCAACGCCGGCCCACGCAAGGAACGCCAGGAAGAAGAACAAGAAAGCCATCATTGTACCACCAAAACTGAGGCTTGTCTTTTCTTGCTCTCCTGTGAGAATGATGCTGTTCACTGGCACCACAGCGGCTCTCCCTCTACATTGACACCCCCATAACCATCGGACTACGCTTCCTGCTGTCGGACGCATAGGTCTGAAAGAATTGCTGTTCGAGGTTTGAACAGATGCAATTCATGGCTTTGGTGCCGGGCGCCAAAAGACTGCAGGCGGCTTATCCTCTTCTTAGCTCAATTCCTTAATTTTCAAACGCCAGCTGTAAAAGACGCCCGCTCGTGGGAACCAATGACGGCAGCCAAACCAAGATGGTCTCTACACGACAAGCAAAAGAGTAAGACAGGCGACGAACCGCTTGCCGTCGCCTCGAATCAGCCCCCAACCGCCGCGTTTCAGGAAGCGCGTCCTCGTCCTCTGCGCCTCAATTCTCGTTCCATCGCTGAGCTGCAGGACCTTGACTAGCGCCCGCGCATCAGTCATCCGAACATGGCTCTTCGTTCCTCCCATGTCTCCCGGGAGGCTCTCGCCCTCCCCCTCCCCCACAAGCGCCCGTCGACGTCTCATTGGCCTGCCCGGACGGCATGCCTCGAATAGACGCCGCACAGACTTTGGCTGATGGAAATAGCCACGGCAGTCTGCGTAGCCGCTGCCATCCTCATGCATCCACTCGCAAGGCCATTGGCCCCGCAGCCGCAGTCACCCTACCAGGTACCTTACCGACCCCAGAATCCTACTGCAAGGTTATCCGCTAGCTGAGGTAAGGTAACAGTCAAGGACGACAACAACAACAATTCCCCGAAAGCAGCACACCTTGTTCAACTCTATTACATACCCGCTTTAGGAACTCGAGTTTTGCCCACTAACGCCTCGCAGAGTCCTCTTCGTCATTCACTTCCTGGACCCGACAGACTGGATGAAGGCGTTCACAGCTGTTTGCGCGGACCGAGACAAGATCTAGCCCTGGTGTTCACCGTCGGGGTGATGGCCTTCAGCAGAAACAGCACACATCATCTTCGTCGGGGTCCACTATGCTAGACATCCCCGCTGGTCAACAAAAGAGCTTTCTATCCCATTTCTTATCCACCAACGAACTTCAACCCGCATCCGGCGAGACATGTTCAGCCAGCGCACATGGCAGCCTCCTGCTTCATCGACAACCAGAAACCTAACGGGCACAGCCTCCACAAAGTGCCTCGATCCTCCCCATCGCAGGATGCCAGAGACACACTTCCCGCCGGTTTCCATCAGCTCTCTGTCCGCCAAAGGTGTAGTGCCTCCAGTCTTGCTGCCACAAGCTTCAGGTCCCCGAGACACGCACCACGTCCTTGGGACCGATATCTGTCTGTTTGCGTTTTGCTTCTCGTTCGAGTTTGCACGCCCTCCATGTGGGAAATCGAGTAGCCTCAAGCCCCGCGGCACCCTGGACTCGCCCCGCGCGCACCGCGTACTCTTCTCTCGTTCCCAGGTCCCCGGTCGAAAGCCTCCCGTTTGCGGCATCGCCGGTGACGTGCGGAAAACTTCTTCGTCGCCTTCTAGCGTCTTTCTACTGGCCGCACCGTCACTTTTCTCAGGCACACGTACGCTCGCAGCCTTTACTTTTCCCCTCAAGTCCGGTGCGGGAAACAAACCGAAGGCCCCAGGGCCAGAAACGGCCCCATCCACACAAACGCTCCACGCGATTTCGTAAAGGTACGCCCAAGAGTCTGCTACACGACTTCTGATTAGTGCTCAAAAGGCATTGATACGTCGACTCTGTTCATCTATTGCCCTTTTGAACGCAAGGCTTGGCTGCCCGGGCAAGCAGAACACCAGGCACAGAAACCATAGCAGACGCCCGTCGGGAAGCCTCTCACTTCGTCGTGGTGATCTTTTTCGTGGAACCACAAGCTCATCGGGGGGACGAGTAGCAGAGTGTCTCTCATCTTGTCCCCTCTAGGTATGGTCACTGGAGCTTCGAAAAACTCTCTTCCGCTAGACTTTTCACGAAATCGTTTACGGAGGTCTCACCCATCGGGGCTGTGCTGGAACACTTTCCAGATTCCCGGGTTTTTGCCTCCCTCCAAAGCCTATCCCCAATGATCCCCCGTTTAAACCTGTTTCTTGGGATCATCATAGTTTCGCACGTAAGAAACAGTCGCCGGGCCTGTCTTACCACTTTGAATAAGATTTCCGGGTACGAAATCCGGGGATTGGGTATGAGTTTAAGCAGCAAGCAGCAGCTGAACCGCAAGCCCGGGAATCGAGATAAAGCTGGGAACGTTGGTTCCGTTTCGTTCTGGTCGTCGGTGGGTAGTGTTTGGCCAGGTCTGGTTTGGTCTGAGGTTGGCGATGTTTCGTCGTTGCCCCTCGTCGTAGAATGACGTGTGACGGTGTGTGATGTGGCACACTCACTCACTCGCGTACTGACTGCAGTCTCCTTCTTTCGTTTAGGTACTCCTCTTCGGCGTCGTCACCAGAGCTTACGTAGAGGAAGAGACACTGACTACCGCAGTCCTTTCTCCTTGCGGATTTGACGTATTAACTCCGGACCCTCTACCATGGTTTGTCCCCCTTCGAGACTTCTTCTACTGCCGACTGGTATCCTACAAAAGTTCCCATGACGGATGTAAAGCCTCTTCTAGCCTATCTGGTGCTCTACTTGCTTACGCAGCTGACTGTGCAAAGGGATCAACCGTCTGAACCGATCTACCCGTTGTTTGTTTTGTTTACGTTTTGTTCGGCACCAGACCCGTAAGAGATAGACCCCTGTTTTTTCCCCTCCGTCTATACCCATTCATTTTTACCTTTACACATTTGAGAGGGGAACAATCGCCGGAAATGGTATGGAGTTGTTGACTTTACGTGATGGCGGCAGATGAGGAGAGGTGTAGTCAGGTAAACACGGACACGGATTCTTTTCACCCGTTCTACCGCGGTTCCTGGTTTTTTGTGGTGGGTGGTTTTACCAGAGCGGCTAGACTAGATACGTTCAAAGGCGTTCGTTCGCCTTTTCTATCCCGCGCGAAGGTCTCGGTCCGTAGGGACTTGCGTCGTTTCGAGCCTTGATCGTTGTGGTAGCTTTCTCCTCCAAGGGAGGCTGCCTGCGGTGCACCTTTCTTGGGCACTCTAGATTACTCATACACGCCGACTCTTTTGGTGTGGTCACACACACACACACACACGATTACACAAATCGAGCTCACCCCGGATACACGGAAAGATGTAGCCCCGGGGCAGCGCGGCGATGGGGGGACAGTCACGACATTTGAGACATTGCTGAATTAGGTAGTGATTGGGTTCTGTTTCTGGGTGAGCTAGCCTCCCGTCTCTGGCCTTGTGAATATGTGTACGGCCAACCAGTGTGCCGTCGCCGCCGCCGCCATCGTCGTCGTTGTTCTCGTTGGCGTGTGGTGCTTGTTCCCGTCTCGCACCTTTCCCGCCTTACGCGTACTTTTCTCTTGGTGAGAAGCTTCTCTCTCGTTGCTTCTCTGCTTTTGACGATGGCTTCGGAATCATGGAAAGGGAGGCAACGTATGCAGGACTTTGTGGTCCCGATTTGTGTTTTTTACGACACCGGTACCCTATCGCTACGACGGGAAGCAAGCTTCCCGTTGATGAGTCTAGTATCTCAATCAAGTGAGGCTTACTTTTTGCTTCATTGTGTACATGTTTTTACGCGGAGATCCTTATTCATCGTAGTCCCCGCTTACCTGTCGGCTATTCGTCGATCTAGCATTGTTATCAAATCACTAGGTAGATATCAGATAGAATGCTCATCTCGTCTATCGGTTTAGTGAAGTGCGCGCGTGTGTGATCGGATCCCGTTCGTCCCGTCCGGGGGAGGATCGTCCCGCCGCCGGGAGGGAGGGAGGGAGAGCGCTCGGCGGGGTAAGCGGGGAGGAGGGAGGTACGGCAAGGTGCCGATGCCGATGGGAGGAGGGACGATCTTCTTCCTTTCCATTCCCTAGTCGCCGACGCCCTCATTCCTCCCGTCGGCCTTGTGCCTTGTGAAGTCACTGACACGAGTACGTGAGGTAAAGGTCAAGCAGCAGTGGCAGGTGAAGATACCACGCGGTTCTGATGGCCGGTTTAGGAAATATCTTACATTCTCCTTTTTCATCTTGGCAGAAAGGAAAGGGTTGCGCATGTTTACTTGTTTGCCATGCTTCTTGTCATTGCTCTTTCCTATTCGGGAGAATCTTATCTCTTGGATTATCATTGGACTGGAAATCCAATGGTGGAATTCAAGTAGGTAGCGGGTAGTGTCTTCCCACATTTTTTTCGTCCCTCCCATTGTTTGTCACCAAGGCATGGGCGGACTAAACTCCGGCTTAGGAAACCGTTTCGTCGTGGGGAGGGGGGGGCCGAGGAGGTAGGTAATAGGGCAGGAAGAGGTGGATATTGTCACATTCTAGCTTCTACCTTGGAAGTCTTGAGAATTGATACTATGAGGCTAGGGTAAGAATTCCATTACTAGAGGCGGCGCGGGAAACGGGATGATCGTCCTTCCGTTTGAAGGATTTGTGTAAACCGATAGCTAGCTTCATGATCGTCTCTGGGGCGTTTTCATCACACTCGCTCGGAGCTTGCTCCAGCCAGTCACTGCTATCACGGCTGTGAAAGGGCATACGCAGACACGCACTCACTCGGCATCGGAGTGTAGATCCTCCTCCCCCACCCTTTCTGATATCACTTGGAAAATGAAGCCGTTTCGTAGGGCGACCCATCTAAGAGGCCGAACCATGAAGAAGGCAGGCGATGTGCGGAAGGGCGTCTATCGCTAGAAGAAAAGGCGTGATGAGAGAGAACGGGTGGCACCCCTCCCGCGCCGCTCAGCCTGCCGAATCCTTCGATGCTGGTTATTTCTCTCCCCGCGCCCACAGTCTAGATTGAAAGGAAAAGTGCGTCGATTTCGCGGTTGAGGAGGGTGTGGGAAACTCTATATTGTGTGATGTCTTCCAACGATGGACGATGGGGGTGTATAGGGTAGGTAGACTTACACCGTCTCCTATTCATTGTCCATATCGAACCTGTTTCTGTTTATTCTGTTGAAATGTGTTTGCCCCTCTCTCCCCCCTCTCTTTCCTTCACTACAATGTCTCAGGTCGTTTGTTCCTGCGCGAAGATCCCTTCTAGCGCTTCTACGTTGGATTCCACCTAGCCTCTTTCGGTGAATGCCTTTTTCTCTCTCTCTCTCCATTGACGAAACCACGCCCCCGTATCCTACCGTGAACGAACGGTGGATAATAAGAGAGAGCAAAACTCCGCGGACGCCCGGCTGACAGAATTCGCCGGGAAAGGCAACCACTCCGACGACTGCCGCGCGGGCGGATAGCCACCACCTCCCCCGAGTCAGGAACACCACGATAGCTCGGCTGCCTACCTACCTCGACTCTTTGCCTCTTTTTTTGTTCTTCGTTTCTACAAACAGCAATGAGTAGGGCAATTCAGGTCGGCGAAGTGGGACGTTCCATCGCAAGCCACCGTTTTGCTGTTCCTTGGTCCGCCGATGAGTATTTCCATCACCCACGTGCTCAACAGTTTTGCTGGCGTCTTTCTCACGATACTCACTCGAAAGTTTTCGCCGCATGTGGGATGTTCTCCGAGGGATTACGTCTTTGCACACCTCTGTCCCTCTATTCTCCTCTACCTCAGCTACGAAACCTAAATGTAAGGTAAAAGAAGGGGATCCAGAGATGGGACTGAATGGGCTTCCATCACGTAGTTCCCACGCCCCTTTCCCCTCTCTCGCCCTTTCACGCCAGACCTGTTCGGTTCATTGACTCCCGAATCACAAGGGGACCCTCTCGTCTCTTGTGAGAGAATGATACGACTTTTTTTTTACCACGTGTTTCGGGCCAGGGACACACGCTTTTAGCTCCTCAAATGCCGGAGAAAGTCGAATGATTTCCTGACGTAGAGCTATCTTTGGGGCTGGAAGCAGAAGACATTGATTGTTCTGCCGGATGTGGTCGAATTTGCCCACGATGGCTTCACTTGGGAACGTTTGGTCTGTGCGGATTGATTTCCGCGAGGAGGTATTTGAAACCAGAATGTGTGCGGAACTGGATGGGCATTCTGGTCAATATCCCTGCTCGAGCGATCATGTGCTTAACGGGTATCATTCAGCCGCAACATGCGGCTTCTTACTACATTGCAAATTCTTCTCGCGAGACTGAAAGGTAGCTTCTCGTGTAGCACCATCGCTAAGTCTCAGGCCCACTTGATATTGATCTCATTTACACCTCTGCTTCTGCCAACTGAAGAAGTCCCAAGGGCGATGAAGCGATAACATTCACGCCAACTTCCCCAAACCTCGGACAAATATACTAGACAAGTTTACCCGTAAAGTCATCTTCTCAGAGATTCCCAGTGATTCCCTATGGTCCAAAGGGAGAAACCCATCAAACGCCGTTCCCAATAACTCCCCCCCAGCTGAACCACCCTTCCCCCTTCGCCTCTAAAGCCACAACATTCCAAACCACCTCCATCTCACGCTAGATACTCGCACACTCTCTTCCCCGTGTCGCAGAACACGATCTCGAACGCTCTCCCCCCTCTGCCCTGCATACGCCAAACCCACCCCAAAATCATTCGACGCAACAAAGGCGCCAGAGATCGGTCATCCGTCTATCCCAGCAAAGGTCCCTTGGCCGTTAGACTCCAGCGGTGGCCCCAGGTAGTAGTATCGAAAGCTGAGGAATGGACGGCGCGGATGCACGGGTAAGCTAGCTAGCGGGGACACATCTACATCTCCCTTTGAAAAAAATCGAACCGGCCAAAACTTTACATGGTCGGATGAACTGATCCCTCTCACCCTCTATAATCCAGTAGCTGACACCAGAACGGGGGGGTCTAGGCTCTCATGCACGAAGGGTTCCGTCTCGTCTCAACACACCACCGAGCTATAGATCTGGAGCTTATGCAGTAAGGGTCTTGACGCCGTTCGAACTCTACGAGACGGGAACCAGACTATACAGAAGCATTGAGATAGCTCGTACGCCAAAAACAAAACCTCGTAAAGCAAAGTCTAGAAGCATCGATTTCTTCAAAGAGTCGATGCCCCCCCCCCCCCCCCCCCCCCCCCCCCCCCCCCCACCCCCCCCAAAAAACAAAACAAACAACAACCCTACCTGGGTCTCTTTTTTTTTCTGCTACTACACAAAGCAAGAAAAAAACAAGATTTTTTTTTTATTTTTTTACCCCCCCCCCCCCCCCCCCCCCTTTCTTCCTCAGATGAACCTCAAACAGACACAAGACAGGCCATGATTCTTGCTTGTGACATTATTTTCAGCGGCAAAAGGCAGAATGCCAAACGAGTCTTTTTTGTTCCATTAACCTGCCCTACCGAGACCGACCGTATGCATCATCTTACTCCGTACATTAAAATTTACGACAAAAGAAAATTGAAGAAGTCAAGTTGTCCTCCTTTGTGTTTGTGTATGGGATGGTGTTTTTGTTCTGCTTGTTCTTTCTCTCGTTATATTGGGGGAAGGCTGCCTCCCCCAGTTGTCTGGTGGCACATGGACTGGACAACCGGTTGATGATCAAGTCCCACGATGTGTAATGTGCCGCTGAGCCAAACGCAAAGTGTCGAGACGTACACATCATCTCTTCCCGTCGCAATATCCGAATGCCCTGACAACCCATCATGTGTGACTGTTGTGCGCATCCTTGCATCCGCAGACGTGTCAAACTGCCAAGTGCCGAACTGAACCGGTTACCCACGATTCCCCAGTTACCTCTTACTAACATGGCCTGATGCACAGTTGGCCATGGTCCCGCCCCCTTCAGCGGATAGAATGGTAAAAGCCTGCTTTTGTGCAGGTGAACCTTCAATGACCAAAAGGGAGACAAGCATAGTCTCGCAGTATCCTGAAAACCCGATAGGATACTGATCATAGAGTCTGCTGTTTGCCCTAGGCCGGCCCCCGAAGAGAAAACCCTTTCCCTCTCCCTTGTGTAACGAAGGTATAATGCAAGGACCAAAAAGTGATGTGATTAGAAGCGGCCGAAGCGCTGATGCTGCATCGGAACCGCGCGCTGGACCACGGGAAACTCCTAGTTGCCGTAGTGTCCGTTGATGCGGCCGCCGCTTCTGATGGTCTGGCCAGAGTGCTGGTCGGGGTAGGTCTCAAAGTACGGGTGGTTGCAGGCGGCCTTGGCCGAGATGCGGCTAGCGGGGTCATACACCAGCATCATCTCGAGAAGCTCAAGACCCTCTGCATCAAGGTTCGTGCAAAGCGGCAGAGACTCGTCGCGGATCCACTTAGGGAAGGAGCTCTTGAAGTCAGGGTAGGACGTGACACCGGGCCAGACATCCTCGGTCGGCGTTCCGAGCGAGCTGCGGATAAGTTTAGCGACAGGTACAGGGTGAAACAGGGGCTGCTTGACAGGAACACGTACCGGAAGATCTTGAAGATCTCGTCAATCTCGGAGTCGCCGGGGAAGAGAGGCTTGCGGGTGCACATCTCGGCAAAGATGCAGCCAACGGACCACATGTCGACGCCGGTGGAGTACTGGCGTCCACCAAGAAGAATCTCCGGGGCACGATACCACAGGGTGACGACCTCGTGGGTGTAAGTGCGCAGAGGGACACCGAAGGCGCGCGCGAGACCGAAATCCGCCAGCTTCAGGTTGCCGTCTCTATCGATCAACAGGTTCTGGGGCTTGAGATCACGATGAAGGATGCGGTGGGAGTGACAGTAGCGAACGCCGTCGCAGAGCTGCCACATGAACTTCTGGATGACGTTCTGGCCCAGGCCGAGGCGGCCAAGGTACTCGGAGCTGCCCTCGGGAAGGGCCTTGCCGCGACCACCATCGTTGACGGGGAGAGACTCCATGTACTTCTTGAGGTCGAGATCGAGGAACTCGAAGACGAGGTAGAGCTTGTGGCCATCGGCATGGACAATGTTGAAGAGGCGCACGATGGTGGGGTCGCGCATCTCCTTGAGGAGGGAGATCTCGCGGATGGCGGTGGAGGGGACGCCCTCGTCCTCGGCCTCCAAGCGAATCTTCTTCAGCGCCACGATACGACCGCCATTGAGAAGGTCTCGGGCCTTGTAGACGACACCGTAGGTACCTGCAAAAAGAAGGTCAAGTCAGTATTTACTTGTGACAGGTGGCAGCCGACCGGTGTTGCGTCATGCCATTCTAGGTCGACTGTCCAGGATGGCGTTGTCTGGGGCTTGCTTACCTTCACCGATCTTCTCGAGCTTCTGGTAGTTCTCCATGGTTGCAGTGCGGCGTATTTATCCGGGGGATCAATTCGTAGGGAAAAAGACAAGCGAATTGATTGAGTCCGATCGCAGGGTGGTCCAAAGAATGTCGAAGGACGTTGTCACGATCGGAACGGCCTTTGTTGTTCGGGTGGGTTCAGGTTCGTTGTGTGGTCGGTCACCTCGAAGTGTGGAGGGGCACAGCTGAGGGTCTCTCCGGGGCAGAGAGTGAAAGACGGGAGTCCAAAGGGAGGAACGTTGTCGTCGTCAGGGGGGCAACAAAGATGCACCACAAGAAAAAAGGCAGGAGGGGGAAACGCAGAAAAGTCGAGGGTCGAAGGGCCGTTACAAGGGGAGAATCTCCATGGGGTGTTGTCGTCGATGTCGGTCGCAAAAGGCCCAGGCGGGATGGGCGTTTTTCGTTTGGCGGATTGGGCGATGTTTTGTGGTGCTAAAATTGCAATCCGTTGTCGTTGTTTACTAGCAATGAAGAAAAACAAGGCGCGATCTGATCTCACCCAACCAAGGCCGCTGGAGGGAAGGGTCGCGTCTGCGGAAGGTGGTAGGGTGGCCTGGGCTCCCCTGGTTATTGGTGGGCTGCCCGCGTACCTGCTGTGTTGAACCCCCCCTCGATAACGAGCTTATCCTTTATCCGATAGCGATAAGGTCACTGCTGATGGTGGGGTCACGGACTGGCTCACTCTTGATTTTGTACCGTAGAGTCACCAATTATTCTCATACGATGCGAAGACAGAGGAGACGTGAGAGAAAATTACCCAGTTGGAATAATTCGTTGATGGACGACAAAATCCAATAACACTCATTTTATTTTATAATACCGATACAGCTTCCTCATACACCTCCGAGACCCATTCACTCCCTTCACCATGACGGCTGAAATTGTCGAGCTCGACGCTCATGAGCAGCCCTCGGAGGCGATGCGGGCACAGTGGAAGGGATACTCCAGAGCAGACCAAAAAGAACTCATAAATGGAGATTCTCTCGATGATCCGAGATCTCCAGAACAAGCCGGGAAATTCTCACAGGCTGGCAAGATTTCCGTTGAGCAGCTGGCCGCTGCTTTCTCACACTTGGGCCCGCATGCCGTCGATACCTCGTTACTCAAAGAAGTTCCCATCTTATATCACCCACTTCTGCCAGGTAGATGCCCGAAACGAGACAACTCAAGACGTAGAAAGTTTTCTAACATATTCGCTCAAGGCCTTCTCATAGTACCGGATTTGGTTCCTCCAAAAGTACAAAAGACCCTGCTCTCATTGATGATCAACCGAGATCTCAGCGTCCCAACACACCAAACCAATCTTCACCTGCACTATGACCTGCCCTACCCAAAGGCCCAAGACGGGTCCGCCGAATCCTTCTTCTCATACCCGCCCGAGCCAACACCCATATTCACCCCCAAGGACCCCTCCGTCCACAAGCCCTTATCCATCAAGCAGGTCATGGAGCGCCGTCTTCACTGGGTCACGCTAGGCGGCCAGTACGACTGGACGAACCGCATCTACCCAGAAGAGCGCCCGCCACAGTTCCCGTCCGACATTGCCAACTTTCTCGAGACCATCTTCCCCGAGACCCTGGCCCAGGCCGCCATCGTCAACTTCTACACGCCCGGTGACACGATGATGATGCACCGCGACGTCAGCGAGGAGACGGACAAGGGTCTCGTCAGCCTGAGCTTCGGCTGCGACGGCCTCTTCATGATTGCGCCCAACGAGCCGGACAAGATCTCGGACGAGGCGAGGGCGACGGGGAAGGAGTACCTGCTTCTCCGCATCCGCTCCGGCGACGCCATCTACATGACCAAGGACTCACGGTTTGCGTGGCACGGCGTGCCCAAGGTCATGAAGGGTACTTGCCCTGATTACTTGGCTGACTGGCCGGCAGAAGATGGAAAGTACGAAGAGTGGAAGGGCTGGATGCAGAACAAGAGGATCAACCTCAACGTAAGACAGATGAGGGACTGATGCCAAAAATCATCGACCCAAAGACAAAAAAGCGAGAAAACAATGCAAAAAGGTGATTGCTCACTACCTGAATTACTCAATTTCTTTTTAATTCCATGATTATATCCTGGCCCCTATCACTGCCCAGTACACACGGTTCACCAGTCCCAGACTTTACGAGTGCACCAAAGAAGCCTCAAACAAACCCCTCAGCTGCTCCCTCTCCTTCTGCAACTCCGTCTCCAACCCAGGCGCCAGCATCAACACTCTAGCCTGCGGAATTGTACCCTCGACAAGGTCGTCCAGGTGTTCCGTACCGAAGCCCAATTCCTTGATACCGGCCGGCTGATCGCCCAGGTCCGCCAAGAACTTGGTCAGCGCGTCGGCCAGGACCTTTCCAGCGTCCTCCTTGCGCACGCGCGAGACGTCGACGCCAAAAGCCTCGGCCGCCTGGAGATGACGCTCAGGGTTGGAGGCGCCCGTGAAGCGGAAGACGGCGGGCGCTGTGACGGCCACGGAAACCCCGTGCGGGATGATGGGGTAGGAGACCTTGTATCCCGCGTGCTGGTAGCCCGGGTTCTGGCCCGAGATGGGGTATGACATGCCTGTGTTATCTCACATTAGGGGAGGAATTCTCGTAAGGGGTGTACTTTGAGGAACGTACCGTGGCAGAGATGGACGCCGGCATTGCCGAAACCGACGCCGGCGAGAGTCGCGGCGAGCAGCATCTCGCTTTGCGCCTCATAGTCGTCGGGGTTCTTGACGGCACGGGGCAGGTACTTCACCGTGGCTCTCAGCGCATGGAACGAGAAGACGTCACTAATGGGGTTGGCGCCCTGGTACGCGGGTCTCAAAATGGGGTTCTTGGGCCGGGGCGTACGCTCGTGGTAGGGGATCGCCGTCCACGATTCAAGGGAGTGGCAAAGTACGTCAAGCCCGGAGGCGGCTTTCACGGCCGAGGGCATCGTGCGGGTGTTGAGCGGGTCACAGATTCCGAGAGTGGGCTTCAGATTGCGGTGAGCGACGCCCGTCTTGGCACGCTTGGAAACCAGGTCGAAGATGGCGGTGCCCGTGGTCTCGGAGCCCGTTCCCGCGGTGGTGGGCACGGCAATCAGCGGCTTCAAGGCCTTGTCCACGGGGCGTCCGTTGCCGAGGGGCGCGTTGACGAAGTCGAGGAAGGGAGCCTCGGGGTAGCACGAGTACAGGTTCATCAGCTTGGCGGTGTCGATGACGGAGCCGCCGCCGACGGCGAGGAAGGCATCGGGCGCAAAGGGACGGGCCCAGTCAATGGCCTCGCGGATGCTGCTGTCCTTGGGCTCTACGCGGGTCTGGTTGTAGACCTTGTAGTTGATGCCCTCGCGGTCGAGGGCTTCGCGGACCTGCTGCATGGCGAAGAGGCCGTCGACGACGGGGTCCGTGACGACGGCCACGCGCTTGGCGCCCATGTTGGCAAAGTCCATGCCGACCTCTTGCGTGGAGCCGGGGCCGAAGCGGATGGAGGAGGCGGCCATCTCAAAAGCGTACTCCTTCTGCGGGCCGTCTACGGGGGTGGCATAGCCGCGTTTGTTGCTCGTCCGGAGGGGTCTCGGTGTGAAGTTCAAAGGGTTGTGGTGGTGGTGATGGCCGGGGTTGGTATGGCAGGGGCATGATGGCGGATGTGCCTGGATTGTCCGCAAGAGGGATACGGCACGAGACGCCGCCTGCGATCTTGTGTGAGTGAGGGATCTGTCTCGAGAGGGGAGCAACTGCTTACGTTGGGGATGACCCGAAGTGAGGGCGTCATGGTTAACTGTGAAAGAATATGTGAGCGGTCAATGGAATGGTTGCACCGGACAGTCTATAAGTTGACGGCTGATAGGACGCTTCACTCTACGCAAGATGTGAGAAAACAGGAGAGAAGGTGTGTGATGAAGCTGCTGCAAGGCTATGTGAGAGAAAGCGATGTCGGATTTGAAGTCCCGCGCCTCCTCCGCACAGGGCTCTCAGACTGGACAGGGAGCTTGGTAATGATGGTCACTCCGGGGGTTGGAGCAGCTTCCCCGCATTCGGACCCCACTTGCCGGCCGAGCGATCTGTGTGTGGGGCCCGTTTGCCGAGGTACATGTACCTGATTACCTCCCTTTTCCGTCCGCATTGATTCATCACCTTACCTTGGGCCCATTGAGTACAGTATTTATCTTTGAAAGATGCCTGGTTCTAGGCTGCTGTCGACGGCCCATGGAGGGATTTAAACACCGTCAGCATTGAACGTCAGAAACGCGAGTACACACGGATGGTTAGCCCGCGCTGACACCGCAACGTAAGCGGAGTTACGTCCACAGTGAGGTAGCGGCACCACTTGTGCCAAATCCACCTGCCCAAAGAAGCTGGCCGAAGGAAGTGAAACCACGCGCGATCTCCAGGCATTCGTAAAAGTTCTGGCTCGGACTTCGTTCGACAACGCAATTGGCCAATGGATCCATGATGATATCCTCTCATGCTGATGCGGCCTTGGTCAATTGGTGGATGCCATTCGATCCTTCATCGGCGAAGAAAGAAAATGGAACTCGAACGTTTACAATATTGCGACACGCCACTTACGTTTGCTGACCACGATGCTTCTACGATTGCGAAGATGTATAAAGACTGTGGTTGCGGCTCTATAAATGGAACCTTAAGAACAGAGTTGTCTGACTTCTCACTTTCAACTTCCACTCTACAGCAACTCAACTGATTCCACGAGATGGCTACACAATCAACTCCTCGCGGCCGCATCCGCGATGTCCTACCCAACCTCGACCTCGGAAGATGGCCGGCGGGACCCAAGAACTCCATTACCGATGTTCCCGGCGTCCTCGCCTCAACGCAGAGCATCCGCACAGAGGAGGGAGTCAACACGGGCGTAACAGTCATCCTCCCCCGCCGGGAATGGTTCAAGGAGGCCTGCTACGCCGGCATCTTCCGCTTCAACGGCTCCGGAGAGCTGACCGGATCCCACTGGATCGAGGAGACTGGTCTCCTCGCCAGCCCCATCGTGTTAACCAACTCCTTCTCGGTGGGCGACGCGTACCGTGGCATCTACGAGTACGCCATCAAGCACTACTCCAACGAGAACGGGGAAATCGAATGGTTCCTGCTACCCGTCGTCGGCGAGACCTTTGACGGGTTCCTCAACGACATCTCCAAATTGGCTGTAACATCCGCACACGTCGCAAAGGGAATCGAGTCCGTGACGGACGACCCCGTGCCCGAGGGCAACACGGGCGGCGGCACGGGCATGATCTGCCACTGGTTCAAGGGCGGCACCGGATCCTCGTCCCGCGTCGTGCCCGGGATCGACAGCGAGGGCAAGGAGACGAGCTACACCGTCGCCGCCCTCGTGCAGGCTAACTACGGCAGGGCGGCCCACCTCCGCATCGGCGGCTTCCCCGTCGGCCGCACTCTCGCAAAGGAGAAGAAGGACACGCTGGCCGAGGTCATGGCGCACAAGGACAAGAAGGACGGCTCCATCATCGTCACCATCGCCACCGACGCGCCCCTGACGCCCATTCAGTGCCAGCGGCTCGCCAAGAGGGCCACCGTCGGGCTGGCGCGGGTCGGCGGCTACGGGCATAACCCCTCGGGCGACATCTTCCTCGCCTTCTCTACGGGCAATCGCATTCCCGTACAGACGCTGACGACGGAGACGCAGGAGGTGGACCCGTTCAAGGCCAAGGCGCTCAAGGTTGAGTCGGTTGACGACACGAGTATCAATGCGCTTCTGGAGGCGGCGGCGGATGCGACGGAGGAGAGCATCTACAACGCCTTGTCTTCGGCCGAGACCTTGAAGGGCTTTTTGGGACACACAGTCGAGGAATTGCCTCTGGATCGTTTAAAGGAGCTCATGCAGAAATACGCATATGATTCGTAGGAATTTAGCTTGTCTACCCAGCGAAATAATTGCCCACTTCTTGTATCGTTTCGGTGGCTAACGCAGTCTCCTTTCCCATCCAATGCTCGTGTGTGTCTTTCCTGAATTTCGACCTACCTGATCCAGGGACTCTGGCTTGGTTATTCTGTGATTTAAAGGTCATGTAAAATTTGTATCCATACGCATATCTTGTTCGTGCCAGATACCTTAAGCCAGGTTCAAGACTCAGCTCATGTCCAGATGCTGCCAATCTCTTCCATCCTCCAGACCCTGAGGAATGACTGCTTTCAAGACACATGTATATTCATAGCAGTAGTGTTTTACGAAATTATCAATGACTTGAGGTTCAAATGTATCCGTCTTGGACTCGTCCTCATGCGGCCGTAGCTGGTGTCTGCTCATTTGACTGACTGTGGCATACAATAGTCATGATGACGGGCGAAGAATGAACTCATAGATATCATATGATGCACTTGCCAGGTGTACTTACACCCATGTATTACGCTCTGATATTTTGCAGAATAGTTGACCGTGGGGCTTTGCATCCGTCTGGCTAGGTCAAGCCAAATGACAACGCATCGTTGGAATAGGATAATCATTGAACAAGACACATCTACCTCAGAGATTTCAGTATCTACAGAAGCACGCAAAGTATACTAGACCATCTCTCTGGGCCCTGGGACTTAAGTGAGACCGCTCTTGCAGCATCGTGGACTCCATTCAGGGGCTCAGGGGTAGCAGTGCGAGAATACAGTGCTGAGCTTATCGTGGCACAGCCCGCCTGGCAGGGAAAGCACCCCTCCCCCCGCAGGTCGCTCTGCCCCTCCATCGAAGGCGGTGAGTCAGGGCAAATGAGTCAATGGCACTACCCCGCCGTAGCCAATGCACTGCTGCCCCTCGTCCCGGCATTAAATAATTTTGACTGGTAAAACTTCGATCGCGAGACGCAAGACAAATTTGGTGAGTCAACCTCCGTTCCCTGATTTAACGACGGGAATTCCCCCGCACACCCTCCCCCAGATTCTGTTTCCTGACAAACATCTTGTGGACACAGCAAACCGCAATCATGGCCGACTCAAGTGCTCCCGAACCCCCCACCGAGCAGGTCAAGGACCTCAAGGTCGAGGAGACTGCCAAGCTTCTCAAGGATGAGGTCACCGGCGAGATGGTCTCCAAGACGGAGCTGAAGAAGCGCCAGAAGGCCCGCGAAAGAGAGGCTGCTAAGGCTGCGAAGGCCGCCGCTGCCCCTCCCAAGCCTGCTGCTGCCAAGAAGGGCAACGCCGAGGCCGACGAGAAGAACCTGGACCCCAGCCAGTACTTCGAGAACCGATCCCGCGCCATCAACAAGTGCGTATTTCCCACGGAGACGAAGAAGCGGTTGTATAGGCTGACAATATGACGATAGGCTGCGCGAGACCAAGTCTCCCAACCCTTACCCCCACAAGTTCCACAGTGAGATCTGCAAACACCATTATCCCTTGACTTTTATACTGATATCGTTGCAGCCGACTACGACTTGCGCAACTTTGTCAAGGACTTTGGTCACCTCAAGTCTGGCGAGCATGACAAGGAGAAGGTCGTCCGCGTGGGCGCTCGTATCTACAACAAGCGTGCCTCCGGCAACAAGCTCTTCTTCTACGATATCCGTGCCGAGGGCGTCAAGGTCCAGGTCATGGCCCAGGCGCAAGAGGTTGCAGAGGGAAGCCCGTCATTCGAGGACCAGCACGTCCACCTTCGCCGAGGCAAGCATTGAGTTTTCTGTCTGAGTGAGAAGCATGAAATACTGACCGCGCACAGGTGACATTGTTGGTATCATTGGATACCCCGGCCGTACCGCACCCAAGTCCAAGATCGAGAAGGGCGAGGAGGGCGAGCTCTCCATCTTCGCGACCGAGTTCATTCTCCTTACCCCCTGCCTGCACACCCTTCCCGACGAGTACTACGGCTTCAAGGACCACGAGGAGCGCCACCGCAAGCGTTACCTTGATCTCATCATGAACGACAAGAGCCGCCAGATCCTTATCGCAAGATCCAAGATGGTCACCTACATCAGACGTTTCTTCGACGACAGGGACTTCATCGAGGTCGAGACGCCTATGATGGGTCCCATCGCTGGAGGTGCCACCGCTGCCCCCTTCAAGACCCACCACAACGACCTCGACATGCAAATGTTCATGAGAATCGCTCCTGAGCTCTACCTCAAGGAGCTCGTCGTCGGTGGCCTCCACCGCGTCTACGAGCTTGGCCGTCAATTCAGAAACGAGGGCATCGACTTGACGCACAACCCCGAGTTCACCACCTGCGAGTTCTACCAAGCCTTTGCCGACGTCTATGACATCATGGACCTGACCGAAGAGCTCGTGAGCGGCCTTGTCAAGCATGTAACTGGCGGCTACAAGACCAAGTTCCACACCCAGCACGGTGAGGTCTACGAGGTCAACTGGGAGAAGCCCTGGAAGCGCTTTGAGATGATTCCCGAGCTCGAGAAGGCCACGGGCGAGAAGTTCCCTCCCGCCGACCAGCTCCACACTGCCGAGACCAACGAGTTCCTCCAGAAGGTCCTCAAGAAGATGAACCTCGAGTGCTCACCGCCCCTGACCAACGCCCGCATGATCGACAAGCTTGTTGGCGAGTACATTGAGGAGCAGTGCGTCAACCCCTCCTTCATCTTCGGCCACCCGCAAGTCATGAGCCCTCTCGCCAAGTACCACCGCGACATTCCCGGTCTGTGCGAGCGCTTCGAGGCCTTTGTGTGCAAGAAGGAGATTGTCAACGCCTACACCGAGTTGAACGATCCCTTTGACCAGAGACTGCGCTTCGAGGAGCAGGCCCGCCAGAAGGACCAGGGTGACGACGAGGCCCAGCTCATTGACGAGAACTTCTGCATGTCTCTTGAGTACGGTCTGCCGCCTACCGGTGGCTGGGGTATGGGTATCGACAGAATGGTCATGTTCTTGACCGACAACTACAGCATCCGTGAGGTGCTTGCCTTCCCCTTCATGAAGGAGGAGAAGCAGGGTGAGAAGAAGGCCTCCGCGGCTGAGGTCGTCGGCGTCAAGCCTGTTCCCGAGGAGGGAATTGGTAAGTCTTGATTGCTTTCCGCTGCAGCGAAATTTTGAGGCTAATAATGCATCACAGCCCACAAATAGAGAGTTCTCAATATGGCTGGGATCGGATGTCAAGACGAATCGCCCTGTATGATTGTCTACAAGTGACGCACGCGGAGAAGATAAAAAGAGAAAGTGTACGCCCCCAGTGATATCCGGCAGACGTTCCATAGTCTAGAGTTGAGCTTCTATTACGAAAAAAATGAACAAAATGTTTTTGAATGGGATAGATTCGAGGTACATGATGACCGCCTCAAAGGGCTGGCTGTGTCCATCCGTTGTTGCTACAATGTTATACATATCTACTTGCTTTTGTGTGTATCGTACGTGCCATAATGCAAAAAATGCTGTCGCTGCCAAAATGCAGTTAAACCAAACAATGTAAAACTGTAACTCTGTAGGGAGCAAACCGCAAGCCATTGGGATAATGGACTCGGGCCTAGGAACGCCTGCTGTACTTGATAGCCTTCGCCTTGGCCTTCATCCGCTTCTGGATCATGGCCAGGGTTGACTTTGGCACGCGCAGACGGTGTCCAAGGACCAAGGCACCAGAGAGCAGCGCCAAGGCGCCGGCCTGGTGCGCCGCGGCCAAGGGCACGGGGACAATGTAGATCAGAGTGCTGATGCCGAGGGCGGCCTGCATGAGGACGAGGTGGACGGTGCCGAGGACGCCCTTCTTGACGTTGGCGGGGAGGGCGGCGGCAACGCGGCGGGTGCGGGAGTAGGCGAAGAGGGAGAGGATGGAGCAGAGAGTGGTCATGGCGAGGATGCGGTGGTCGAGCTGGACGGTGCTAGGGTTCTCGAGCATGTTGCGCCACCAGAGGTCGGAGCCGTCCTCCTTGCGGGAGTAGAACTTGTCCCAGAGCTCGCCCGAGGGCGGGGTCAGGCCGAGGCCCATGTAGGGGAACTCGTTGTAGATGAGGCCTGCGTCGAGGCCGGCGACGAGAGCGCCGGACATGGCGGTGGTGAAGACGAGGGCGACGAGGGCGAAGGAGAGGCGGCGGAAGGTCTTGATGGCCGGGTTGCGGAGGGCGGCGAGGGCCTTGTTGGCGGCGGCGGGGTCGGCGAGCAGGCGGCGGGTGCGGAAGACGGTGAGGGCGGACAGGAGCATCCAGGAGTAGCAGACGAAGGCCGTGGCGAGGTGGGCGGTCAGGCGGTACTGGGAGACGCGCGGGTGGGAGCCGGGGGCGAAGAGGTCGTCCTTGAGGCCGGATTTCACCATCCACCAGCCGATGAAGCCCTGGAAGGCGATGAGGCAGGAGATGCCGCAGAGGTTGACGGCCATCTTGGGGGTGACGCGGCGGCGGGCGATGAAGTAGAGGGTGGGCAGGACAAAGGACATTCCGATGAAGCGGCCCCAGAGGCGGTGGGACCACTCCATGAAGTAAATCTTTTTGAACTCGGCCAGGTCCATGTGCGGGTTGAGGAGCTTGAATTCGGGGGAGGCGCGGTACTTTTCGAACTCGGATTCCCAGTCTTCCTGGTTCATCGGGGGCATGGAGCCGGTTACGGGACGCCATTCGGTGATGCTCAAGCTGCATTGGAAAGGGGTTAGCTGCAGTGTCCCTGGGAAGCAGTCCAAGAACAGGAGGGGGGAATTATCGTTACCCAGATTCAGTCAGTCGTGTGAGGCCACCCCAGACGACGATGCCAAAGACGCTGACAGCGCTGCCGACGAGCCAGTATCCCACAGACTTGGAGTTCGTCTCAGGCCACGCCCTTTTCTTGGTGGCCTTCTTGGCCTTGGCCACAGCCTGCGCTGCGATCGAGACGGACGGCTTGTCTGCAATGACGGCGTTGCTGCTAAAGTTGAGCGGCGCCTTGGTCTGGGTGAAGCTCCGGGTCTGCTGCTGAGATCGTACGATGGTGTCGAGGACGCGGGACGGGGACGAGCGCCATTGCGGCTGTTGGCGCTGGCATTGGCGGCACACGAAGAGCGAGGGGGATGCCCTCACGGCGAGCCTCCGCAGGCCTGGTGCGAACGACGCCATACTGGTGGTGGTGGTGGTGTTGGTGGTGTTTCCAGAGTGCAATTGGAGGTGGAGGTGTGGACGTTGTAGGTATAAATGAATCATAGAATAAATTATTTTGGAAATCCAGGGCAGCCGAGTGGTCGGACTTCCCTGGCTGGTCAGTTCCGGGTCCCTTCGGCTTGATCAGTGTGGAAAGTGGGCCCACTCGTTCGATCGCGCAAAGGTCCCCTGGACTCTGGAGTCGGCCTGGACGGTCAGTGGACGCCGGTGGGCAGCGGCGCGGAACAGAAAACTGGAGACCACTGGAATCCAACACTTTGACAATCGAGCAGGGGTCCGGGTCTTGGAGTGTGCCCCGCTGTAAATTTCTAGCTCACCGCCTTGCGCCCACTATGGCAGAATTTGAAAAAGTTGCCCATGCTCGCTGCTTTGGGGAACCACGAACTGTGTGTGTGCGCTGCAATCCGAGCTGAGGCGGGACACGGTCGACGACTTTTCAACTTTTGTTTCGGCGTCACTTCTTTCGCAACCAAAGTCAACACCTAATTTTCGTCTACTTTGTACACACAAGATGCCCCCCGGAAGGCATTCCCATGGGCGGCAAGCCCACGGCCGACCTCTGCTCTCCAGCAAGCCGGCGGCAAAGACCTTCCGCAAGTCGAAGAACAAGGCCCAAGTCAAGGCCCTCGACGCCTTCACCACCGCTTCCGAGCTGTACGCGCCCAAGGAGAAGCGCACTCCACGCTTCCGCGAGATCGAAGCCGCACCGGAGGCTAGGAAAAAGCGCCGCGCCGCCGACGACGATGACGACGAAGATGGAGAGGACGACGAAGACGAGGACGACGACCAGCCCAGGCGAAAGAAGGCCAAGCCATCTGCTGGCGGCGCAGGCGGTGACTCCGACGAGTACCAGAGCGACAGCGACGGAAACGAGTGGCACTACGGCGTTAACGAAGACGAGGATTCGGAGCTCGACAGTGACGAGGCCTTTGGCGATAGCGATCACGAGGATTTCCAGGGTTACGCATTCAGCGGTAGCAAGGGCAAGAAGAAGAACCAGGTGGGTGGCGAACAGAGCGTTTTGATATGCCCACGAGAGAGCTTCCACAGCTGACTGAGATTACACAGGACGATTCAGAAGAGGAAGACGACGAAGATGACGATGAGTCCCTTGGCGAGGACGCGATAGACCTGGCCCAAGCCCTCGACGAGTACGAGTCCGACAAGTCCATGGCAGACCAGGACGGCCAAGACGACTCGGACGCCTCAGACTCCGAGGCCGAGAGCCCGCCCTCCTCAGACGAGGACGAAGACGACCAGGAAGCGGACCCCTCCAAACTCGGCGATCTCCAAAAGTTCATCGCCAATTTTGGTGGTGACGACGAAGACCAGGATGCCGCCCCCACAAAGCAAAAGCAAAAGATCAGCTTCAAGGACCTCGGCCTGTCCGGCGTCAAGGACGCGCAGATGCGGAAATCCGTCAAGCTCATGGCCAAAGAAGAAAAAGAAGCGTCCCGCCCCGGCGCGGGCAAGAAGCTCGAGGTGCCCCTGTACAAGCGCCAGCAAGACCGCCTCGCGCGCGCGGCGGCCTACGAGAAGACGAGCGAGACCATCGGCCGGTGGCAGGAGACGGTGAAGCAGAACCGCCGCGCCGACCACCTCGTCTTCCCGCTGCCGCAGAACGCCGCCGACGAGGGGCTCGACAACCGCGAGTTGCAGGCCATCACGGCCAAGAACTCGACGGGCAACGAGCTCGAGCAGACGATCCTCAACATCATGCAGGCGTCTGGTCTGGCGATGAACAAGCAGGAGGAGAACGCGCGCGCGAAGGCCGAGAGGGAGGAGGGCATGTCAAAGGAGGAGCTGCAGGACATGATCCACCAGCGCCGGCGCGAGAGGGAGCTCGCCTCGCGCGAGACGAAGCGCGCGGCGCGCATCAAGAAGATCAAGTCCAAGGCGTACCACCGCGTCCACCGCAAGGAGAAGGAGCGCGAGGCGGCGAAGCTCAAGGAGGCCATGGCCGAGAACGGCGACGTCGAGGTCGACTCCGAGGCCGAGCGGGATGCCCAGGACCGCGCGCGGGTGCTGGAGCGCGTCGGCGCGAGACACAGAGATTCCAAGTGGGCCAAGCTGGGGTCGTCCAACAAGCGCGCCGTCTGGGACGACGAGTATCGCGCGGGTCTGCACGATATGGCGCGCCGCGAGGAGGAGCTGAGGCGGCGCAAGGAGGGCCGGACGGGCGATTCTGACGAGGAAGAGGAGGAAGAGGACAGCGACAGCGAGGACGGATCCGAAGACGGGGAGGGCACCGGCCACCGCAGCGGAAAGGAGAACAGGAGACTCCTGAAACAGCTCGAGAGCATCGACAACGAAGAGGACGACGGCCCCAAGTCCGACCTGATGAAGATGAAGTTCATGCAAAAGGCCGAGGCGCAGCAGAAGAAGGCAAACGACGAGCTCATTGCGCAGATCCGTCGGGACCTGGACTCGGGCGGCAGCGATGACGAGGAGGAAGACGAGGTCACGGAGGTGGGGCGCAAGAAGTACGGCAGCGCCGCGCAGCCCGCCGTCTCGGCCCCAGCGCTGTCGAGGAAGCAAAAGAAGGCCGCCGCCGCTGCCGCCCGGGGTGCTGACGTTGACATGGAAGACGGAGACGATGCGCTCAACAACAGCGCCGTCAACACGGGCTACTCCCTCACAGCCGAGCCCTCGACGACGGGCTCGGCCTGGTCCTCGGGCCCGCGCAAGAAATCCGCAAAGACGGGCGGCAAATCCAGCGGCGCGCGCGTAGAGGACCTAGACAACTCCCTCGCCATCACAGCCTCCTCCTCCAAGCCCAAATCAAAGTCAAAAGCAAACAAGAAAGCAACATCAGCAGCCGACACCTCCTCCTCCGAAGACTCCGACTCGGACTCCCCCGACTCCCACCTGCCCCTCGCCATTCGCGACATCTCCCAGATGGACAAAGCCTTCGCGGGCGACGACGTAGTCGTCGATTTCGCGCGCGAAAAAGAAGCCATCCAGACCGCAGACGACGACAAGATTGTCGACAACACGCTCCCCGGCTGGGGCGGCTGGGTCGGCGACGGCGTGAGCGCGCGCGAGAAGAAGCGCCAGCAGGGCCGGTTCGTTACAAAGGTCGAGGGCGTCAAGAAGGCGAACCGCAAGGATGCCAAGTTGGAGAGGGTTATCATCAGCGAGAAGCGCGTTAAAAAGGTATGCATTCCCCCCCCCCCCCCTTATTTCCAGACTATCTGTGGCATCTCTCTCCTTTCCCTCATCTCTTGTTTCGATACTTCCATCTCTCAAAGTGAAAATTCATTCCTAATATCGTTTCATAGAACGACAAGTACCTCGCAACACAGCTCCCTCACCAGTTCGAGTCCAAGGAGCAGTACGAGCGCTCGATCCGCCTGCCCATGGGTCCGGAATGGGTCACCAAGGAATCTCACCAGGCGGCGGTCAAGCCGCGCGTGCTCAAGAAGCAGGGTATCATTGCTCCCATGTCCAGACCGACAATGTAAAGAGGTTTTTCGGGGACTAGAAAAGCAGAGGGGTGGGACACTGGGTGTTGAGACAACCTATTTTCTTATTATTACATGCTACTACCCCAGATAGATCATGTCACGGCACTCTCTATCTCCAGGGTCATAGTTCAAGGCGTCAAAGGCAAATACAAAAAAGTGCAATTCTTGGTTCTTCAGACAATAGTGGTATATATTCTCTCTTATTCGGAACAAAGACTAGCGATTACGGACCTTGCGAACCAATGATTTTTTCTTTCTTTCTCTGTTCCTTTGCTCCGTTCAATTTTCTCCGTTTCTGCGGAGAGACCTAAAACCTTGGCCTCACAAACGAAAAAAGCCACACCAAGGGAATATAATACAGTTCGGACTACGTACACAAGGGAAATGCGCACCGGGGGCGCATCATCCCCAAAGATAGATTGTTCAGTCACTCGGTGTCTGTGGGCTCGATGTGACTGTTGGGTATTGTCCCGTAATCGACACAGCGCCAAGACGCCTACTCGAACATGGTGGTAGGCTTGGGTTGTTTGCTGACGTATACAAGGCAGTCGGGTGGACAGCGCCTTGCGAATTGCTTTTTTGCAACTTTTGGCATTTCCAGCGCTTAGTTACCTCAACCCTGAACAACGGACAGCACCCGATCGATAGCGTCGCTAGGGCTGACATAGAAGGCCAAGGCGATAATGATGTACAGGCCAAGCAACATGGCGCCCTCCAAGTAGTTGGACTTGCCGTCCTGGACAGTGTACGTAACGACCAGCACGGAGAATGCGAAGGCGACAGTCTCGAAAGTCTCAAAGTGGAGAGTCATGGGCTTGTCGAGAACAGCCCATCCGAGGATGACCAAGAACGGGGTAACGAGAAGGGCGATCTGGATGCTAGAGCCAATGGCAACACCCATAGCAAGGTCCATCTTGTTGCGGATAGCAACAACGACGGCTGTGACGTGCTCTGCCGCGTTACCGACGATGGGGATAAGAATGAGACCAATGAAATTCTTGCTGATGTGGGCGGTTTCGACAATGGGATCGATGCTTTCGACGAGGTAATCGGCGCAGATGGCGACGAGGACAGTGGTAACGACGAGAACGACGGCCGCCGCAATAGGGCCCATGATCGGCTCCTCAACCTCCTCCTCGTGGTGGTGCTGGGTCTCGGCATCGAAGAGGTTGGGGTGAGTGCGCAGCTGGAACCAGAGGTACAAGACATAAAGCAACAGCAGGATGATGGCTGTGCCGCGGGAGAGTACCAAGATGCTGTGCTCCTTCTCGGCGCTTTCGGCCTTGTCGAGGACCGAGTAGAGCTACGAGGCATTGTTAGTCATTAAGCGCGGGGTTTCATACCCTGTCGGGAGGGCTTACCGTGGCGGGGATGACCAGCGATGCTGATGACAGCGTCATCAGCGAGCAAGTGGTCTGCGCCGTAGCAGAGGCGAAGCTCTGTTCCATGCCCTGGCCAGTAACTCTGTCGCGCATGTTGACAATTCCACCAAAGAAGAAGCACATGCCCATGACAAGCAGCAGGTTAGAGAGAATGGAGCCTAGCATAGATGACTGGACAACCTCGATTTGACCCTCCTTCAAGGCGACAATGCTGACGATCAGCTCGACGGCGTTTCCAAAGGTAGCGTTGAGCAGGCCTCCGAGGGCCTCGCCCAGCTTCATCGAAATTTGCTCAGTTGCAAAGGACAGAACAGCAGCGAGGGGGATAATGGCGAAGAAATTAATGGTGAAGACGGCGACTGGGCTCCAGTGCAACTTTCCGGCCACAATGCCAATAGGCACCATGACAAGCAGGAAGTTGACATAGTCTGAGAGAGAACGGTCTGTTAGCACACGGCGGCGCATAGTAACGCTATATCGCATGATTGAACTTACTGCTGAGGAGCGACACCTTGGTGACATGCCAGGCGTGCGATGAGTATCTTACGGCGGCATTGGGGCTGTCGGTGCCGGGTGTCTGTGTCGCGTTGAAGAGGAACTTCAGGGTCTTGTTGCCGCCGTCGCCGTTGACAATGTGGCTATCGTGGGTTCCCGAGTGGTTGCCATTTGAAAGAAGAGGCGAGTTCTCGTTCACGTCGCCTTCGCGGCCGTTGGGCTTGTTGGCTGTGCCCCAGGAGCGGACCTGTCCGCGGAAATGTTGGTTGGCTGAATCGTCGGACATGGCGCCGTCATAATTAGCCGGAGCCCTGACCAGTATGAAGAAGAAGAATTTCCTGTCGCGCGGTCCGTGGATGTGACAGATGGGAAGCCGGATCGGATTTTGGGGGTAAGGCGTCCGGCGAGTGCTAGAAAAAAGCGAGAATGGAAAAAGGAAGAGACAAGGGAGTGACGATCCACGCGCGGGATAGGGCGACCTGATAATTTGTGCGCCCGAATCCTAAAGGTGTAGTGGAAGAATGGAAAAAGAGTAGCGGGTGGTGGGTGGTTGCGATGCCAGAGTGTGGCTTGGAGGAGGGAAAGATGGTGAATGACTTTCACCCCGTGGTAGAAATGACTTAGCGCGCCAAGGTGAAGGTGTCCAGGGGAGGGATGCAGCTTCTCTACCTAAGAACCTAGGACATGGGGCGGAAAGAAAGTCCAACGGGGCTTGCTGGGGCTACACTAAGGTAATGTCGTAGCGGAAGAGTGGGAAAGTGGAATAAGTGCGGCAAGGTAGGTAGGTTTGGTAGACGCAGGTAAACCATAAGGTAAAGTAGGTGCGAAGGGCGAAAGTACAAAGCGGGTTTCAAGGCAGAATAATACAAACGTGGGTGGTAAACGGAGATATTTGTGCTCAGAGAGGTAACAAGGCAGGTAGAGAAGTCAAGTGGTAAAAGTGCGAATAAAAAGGTAAATCCGTACCGAGATCAAGCAGAGAGAATGAGAATTGCAATGTACTTACACACCATGATGTCGCCTATAAGTGACTTGATGAGTTGCTTGGCCTTTTCTGTCCCCTACCTTGTTATCACGGCCGGCAGTCCTAAGCTGCAGACAAAGCTTTTGCGCGTGGGTATTTCCGATAGTGATAGTCGCAACGGACCGGATGAGATTTCTGCTCGAGGCCCTGTGCCTGCGCCGCCCGACGGCAAAGAGAGTGGAGTAAGGTAAGGTAGGTAGCGGACGGTTCAGTGACGGCTTGATCCAATAGATACAAGGCAATGGCAAGCAGTGTTGGGCTGCCAAGTCCAAAGTACAGAGGAATCTATGTGGACGGTGTATCGACCGGAGGGGGTCCAAGTGGATTGGGTCCTTGGGTGCTTGGGATTGAACGTGCGAGTGAGCGTGACGATGCGATGGATGCTGCTGCAGCACGACTGCAGGAGGCTTGAAGCAGAGCGACGCGACTCGACGAAGGGCTACGGGGAAGGGTGTTGCTGTGTCTTGACCGTTGAGAAAGAGATGGTGTGGAAGGGCAAGGCCAATTGGTAGCCTCTGCGGTGATGCAAAAAAGGTGAGGCGGGCTTGGTATCGGGCGAATCTGTGTCTGGTTGATAGTGATTGATAGTGCTTGTAATTTGTTACCGAAAAAGTAGCAACGGCAGCAATATGTTGTCCAAAGCCGTGTTCCAAGAAGTTCAGGCGATGGCAAATGAGTCTTGGCTGGGGAGAAGGGTTGAACAAGAAACGAACACAGCCCCCTTTTCCTGTCAGGCTACTATGGAGAACGTGGGACGGATGCCGTGGTACCCAAAGAAGAGAGAAACAGGACGGGACGAAACAGACGCTCTGAGTCTCTGCTGCGAAAGTGGTGGTGCTTGGTGTGATTGTGGTGCCGAGAGGGAGTGACGGGAACGAGGAATGACACTTCTGGATGCATGGGCGGCCTCCCGGATACATGCAAGGACGAACGGTGCACGCCGTGTTAGTGCAAGGTACATGCAAAAAGGTACATATCCAAACCAACATTTTGCATATCAACCCATTGAAAACCCACTCAACGACGTCGGTATACGGATACACTACACTAGACTAGCACTGTTCAGCTTGTCAATGGCTGCTGAATCCAGCTTTACCGGCGTTCAAGACAATTGCTGATTACCCCGGTATGACAGCATTGTACGGATCTACCTCACTAAAACACCGCCGGAAGGAGAAGCTTTGAGTGACCATGGGCCTTTTTGCAGTGAAAACCACTTTACTAGGGGAGAGAAAGGCCCTCCCAAACGTCATACAACGGGTTAGCCAGTAGCGAACAGGTTTCAGTCTTTCCAAAGCCAAGGGGTGAGGTTGGGGTGATGTTGGCGGCGCCCAATGAGGAGCTTGCTAGGATGCCAAGCGTGGCTGTGTTGTCTGGCGTTGCTTCTCATCTTTCTCCGCTGTTTCCTGTTCGGCGCCCGCCCACTTACCCTCTTGAGCAGTGAGCTAAGGAGCTTTCCCTGGATCCCTCCCTCCCTGAGTTGCTCTTGCACAATGTCACTTGTGAACTCGCTCACTCCTTCCCTCCCACATTTCCGCCAGTAGGAGCGCCTTCCAATTCCCCAAGTACGAAGGTTCCGAGGGATACGTACCTGCTATCCATCACGCTACCGATAGCTCCCATGCTTTCCGTCATCGTCTGCTGTCAACTTTCCATTCCCTTGTCACCAGGAACACAATCCACATGCTACACGGCTCCTCGCATCGAAAAGAAGAGAGACCATCGTTATCGATACATTCGCTGGACAGCCCCTATCAAAAATGCAAACACTATCGTTGCCCGTTGGTCACCCACACTCATCTTGTTCGAACCCAATGCTGCGCGCCCGCCTCGCATTGCCTCAGCAACCTTCCAAACCCTGGAGTCAAAAATGATCAAGCTCAGTCTTGGCTTGACACTGCCTTTCCACAATTCCTCGTCTCGGCACGAAGCCGTCCCACTCTCAGGGAATTCGTCTTGACTTTCGGCTCAGGGGACCAGACGATATGCGACAAACAGCTCGAGCTCCAGCCCACTATTCACCATGGCACTTGCTACCCAATCGTGCCAATACCACGCTCGCACTACTGTATTCGTAGCAGAGCCCCAGTTGCTGGCCCATTTTCGCCGCCCTCGACTTTGTCCCAAACGTCAAACGGGACCCAAAGTGCTGTGCTCGTCTGAAGAGTTTTGCTTCGATTCAACCCTCCGAGTTATTTCGGTCACAATATGGAGAGCATCCATACAACCTCGGGCTCAGATAGGGCGCCCAGAGTTCCATCTTACACCCAAAACGACAACGACGGCGACAAACAAGCTCCAGAGTCTACTCTCTGGCCAAATGCTGTTTTCGGTTGCCCTGCGAAACGCCTTGCCTTGGCTTGCTGAGGGTGGCGGGGGTCCGCCCTGTCCATTCGCTTTCGGAGTCCCCTGCACCGATCTACGGACCCCCCAATCCATCGCTGAATGCCATTTCGAACCTTGACCGGACATGGGGCCAGGAATCCCCTTACGTTGGTCCCCTTATCGCCATGATTCTTTATCGATAAACTTTGCTGCCGCTTTACTGCGGTCCTCACCATCATCAAAGCCTCGTTGCCAAGCATCGTCAGTCTTGGCCTTTTACTCAGCCGAAAAGAATTCATGTGCTCATTGCCACACACACAGCCTTGCGATTTGATGGCCCGACTCATGGTCTTCGAGCTTGGCACGTCTGCCTCGCAGTAATATTCTAGTCAAATGCTGCTCTACATTAGCCTTTCCGACGTTACTTCCCCAACTCTGAATTGCGGGGACGGGCACGGAGGCTGGCCTGTCGCCGATTGATATTACTTCCCAGCCGAATCCCGAGTCATCCTCCACACCATGCTTCATGCGCGCGCGCTTCCACGCGAAATTCGTGCGCTGGCACCTTCACAGCCACCACCATCCATTCGAAAGACACAGCAAACCCCACTAAACTCCGGCAACGTTTTCTGATACGGTGATGCCAAAGCACCTGCTGTCTGTTGCGTAGGGTGCTTCGTAAGAGGCACGTGGCTTTGAGGGCTTGGCCAGCCGGCTAACATAGCAAGGAGAAGCAGCAGTAGCTTCTCTCAATGTCGAAGACTTGCCGGTATGAAGATCTCAAAGTCGACTTCATGGACACCCGTCATAGAAACAACCAACGATGATCATGCTTGGCAAATCCTAGCGGACAAACACGGCCACAGCACTCATGCTTCTAAGCTGACTGCATCCACTGATGTTGGCAGAGCAGCAAGGTGCCAGCACAGCGGACTTGGTTCAGATCAAATCAATTTTGGGACAAGTAGCAGGGCCTTTATTGCAACATCCGCCCAAACGCGGATTTGGTAAAAAAGCATGACGGTTACGCGAATACCTTGCTACTAGAATTTCGTCTTATATCCTCGCCCCAACACGGGATGTCATCTCTGGTGCACTGTCAGTCAATGCCCTACCGAGCTGAAAGGCATCGTACCTGAGCCAGCTGTGCCGATTTCCGAGTAGTAAGGATCACACATCAGCTGGTAAGAGACTTGGCAAGAACAGACATCAACGAGACCTTGCATCCATGGCGGTTTGTGACCGCTGGCCATTCTTCGACTTACAAGGCCAAGGCAGTTTACCTCACGTGGCTCTTGATACAATAAGATGCCTGCTGCTCTGACGCGATGCAGCAACATCGCAAGCCAAGTTGATGACCTTCCTGAGAAGTCGAAATCTCGCCTTCCACTCCACATCCAGGACGATTTTCTGAATCTCGAAAACCGGCATGAATGTGGAAGCTCGATCCCCGTATATACCAGAGTAAGCACAGTGTTGGCAGTCAGTGCGCGCAAGTCGCCGTACGGTGTTTGGATGCTATGTCTATGTGGCAGTACACAGTAGACACCGGCATCTCGACACCATCTTTGCAACTTCAAGATCGATACAGATCTGGCTGATCAAGCTGATCGTTTCTCTGCACAAGAGACCTAGACCAAGACTTTGTCCGCCGGCAGCCTGATTCTAACCAGCAGTTGCAATAAGCATTGTGGCGACCAAAAAGCTTAGCCTTCCGGCCCCCAATCTTTTTTCTCTTCCCGTTCATTCGCACTCCGTACCCCTCGCTGCCCCCAAGAGCTAGAGAAGCCGGGGGCCCGTGTTACGTGGATGGGTGACGCGTCATCCGTGGCCCTGCCAAAGAGAAACCCATCCGCCCCCCTGGGATTTTCTTGTCAATCTGCTGCTGGGCTGCTCTCCCGCTTGATCAATGATGGAGGGGGTGGTGGATCATAAAAATGCATGTGCCGTGTTTTCCTTGCTTGCACGCCCCGAGCTCGTTGCTTGAGCTACCTCGAGGCTTGGGATGCTTAGCTGTCTCGCCCGCCTGCAGGTGAGGTGCACACGAGGCTCGGCTGAATTGTGACCGCTGCGGGATGCAGACCCTGCATTCTTCAGCTGGCTGTCCAACAGTCTTTTGGGATACCGGATGTGTGTATTGCATATTTCATCTGTTCACACATTATGTACATGATTCAACGGGGTCCGAATGGTCACCGTGTCTTGGCGGGCTCATTTCGTCTGAATTATTACCACGGTCGCTTATAATATCAGCCAGATCGTTATGATCAGAGGACAGATGAACGTTTTGACGACTTGAGATGAGAGAGAGGGAGAGGCTTGGCATTTATTCACTTGGCAGGCACTTTTTTCTTTCACTTTTGTGTCCTCAGTATGGACAGTCAAAGGCTGAGAGGCAATTGCAAAAAGTTTCTTTCTTCGTGATAAAAAGATATAATCTAAGGTTCTGTTTGAGTAGGGCATGTGTGTCGTAGGAATTTCGTGTCGTGTTTCGTATTGAGGCATTACATTTGTTTCGTTGTTCCCATCTCTTCATGTCATGCTCGTTGCTCATTGTTGTTTCGTCGTTCATTACTTCGTCCACGCGCAATAAGAAAAAAAAAGAAATAAGAGAAAACCGAATTCGAATGGTGCCGCCCTTCGTTGATCTTCATGTCGTTCATTCCATACACCAGTCATGTAAGTGTTGAATCAGGACTGGGTGTGGTTTCCCATTCAGGGTGTTGAAAAACGTCTTAGACGTTGCCCATCACTGGAAGATGATGTGTTAGTATTTGCTCGTACTGTGACAAGGCTGAGATCGGAAGGAGACTTACAAGCTGCATACGTCAAGTACCACGTCAAACTCGCGCCGCCGTCGATCCAGCTAGGATCAAAGTTGGAGCTGTTGAAAAAGTTCCACGCCGTCTTACCGTCAATCGTCGCAAGGTTTCCATAGATGATACCCCTCCAGCCGCCCGCGATAGTATCGACGCGTCCGTTGCTAAAGTACACGTCCCATTCTTCCTTGACGAAGGCCGGTGTGC